TTGGTACTGCTACCTCACACTCTCCGACATATTTGCTCTCACGCTTGTCACTTTTCGCAATAGAAGCCAAATATTTTTTCCGTATATTCTAACGCCTCGATCACATCTTTGATTCGGTGCGGAAGTATCGAACCTAACTAGGAATTTCTTTTAACGCGTCCTAAACAAGCGGTCCACCCGTATATATACAAGCTCTTATTCAGCATATGCCATTTCATTGAATTATAATCGTGGCGTCCTATAATACGGATAACAACACTCTACGATAATCTATAGCTCGGTCCCATTTATCTTTCATATGAAGACTAGCTATGTGCTCGAGTTATGACAACACGAGAAGCTGATAAGAAATTTTACGACGTTGATCACTGACGCGCGTACCGCCCTGCGACGGCAGACCACAGATAGACCTCTCTTCGCTCATCTCACAATATGAGAGAAACGATCAATTAACCAATTATAGTCGGCATCTTCGTTTACTTTTCAGTTTCTTCACAAAGAATCCTAACTAATATTGATTGCCAATGTCTAGATGCGAGAAGACATAAATCGTCTTGAGAGTAGAATATAATTCTCTTGTAGATTAGGATATGTGGGTACAGTCTTAGTCTACATCTGCGAATAGTGAACAGGCATTGCTCACGCTGCGCGTGGCGCGGCGGGGCTGCGCTCTGCGGTGCTACTATGCTCATTATGTTTCATTGGTAATCAGGTGCCCTACAATACATATCATTTATGTATGCTTTATATACGATGTGCTGGTAATTGTTTATGATTCTTCTTCTAAATTCAAAAATATTTTTGTGCCTAAATGACCCCCATTGACTCTCTTTACAATACTTAATATTATTTACGCATAGGTTCTCGTCTTAGTCTCTTACCAGGGGATATAGGCCTCCTCAAAATCGTAAGCCACCTGCACAACTGGCCCACTTGCCCCCCTTTCTGTTCTGGCCTGCTATAATCAGACTATATTACTTTATATAAAGAGCGCTGTCTACTACCTAGAATACACTCTAACTCAGTACGATCAATGTTAATTATCAGTCTTAACATAGCTACAGTCAGGCTGGCAACGTTTTTAAGCTATACAACAAGTTTTTTATGGCCATCACCTATTATTAAACCTTTATTAACCTAATATAAGAGACAACACATGCAATTAGGAATTAACACAATTAAAATGTAGAAAATAACGAGTAGACTACTCACATCCAGACTCAATTTGGGTATCGGGTTTTTAGCCTCGGCGTCATATGCCTGGGCGCCCCACCACTAAAAAAGTTCGCAAGGTCCATTCCTGCATTATACCTGGCGACCATGCCGAACATTTTCCAAAAATAGAGGTTCATGGGTTTTCCTTTCCAGCTAAATCTAGCTCAATTTTAGGCGTGGCCTTTCAATTGACCCCACTGACCACACCCAACCAGCGGCTGCCCGCCAGACTTTACATTTCCTTACCATGGTATTCATGTACACGAATCATTCCTATATGCCATGGAAAATTGGTATTTCCTTTTCAGCCTAGGCTAGACCCCCCTGGCCATCCGGTTCTTATACCATCCTGAGTCCTACGTATTTA